CAATATTGTCAACGAGCTCGTCTCGATCGGGCATCGATGGCCAATCGATCAATCGGCTACGCACGCGACCGCTCTTAACGGAAGTCCCCAGCCGCTCGCCGAAGACACGCTGAGCACGCGAGGTCATCCAGGATGGGTTTCCTTTCTCAGCTTTCTAGCTCGCTAGCTGTCTTAACCGAATTAACCGTAATCCGCTACGCGCTTGTACTCGCACGTAACCACGGATCTGCGCCTAAGGTGAACACGGACTGTATAGTCTGGCAGGTACAGAGACGAATTTACAAACTGGTGAGGTGATCGGGTAAAAACCAAGGAGCCATCGTCGTAGCGGCAGATACGTAGAGGATTGCGCTGACAAGAGGAGGACATTTCTTAATTAGATATCAATGTGTCTTGAGGCACCTCATTCCTCACCGTGGAGCTCTTGATTGATGACGTCAGAACCCAGACAACACACACCTCTAAGAGATGTCTTGTGGACATCCTGAGGATCTTGTTATGTCTTCAGAATATCCTTAAGATATTTCTTAATATCAAGGATATAAGGGATTCTTAAGATCCCTTGAAATATCTGTACTGTTTGGGAATGCATGAACGAAATTTCTGCAAAATACATCGAGACAAAAAAATATAAGACAGGGGAAAATATCCAGTAGTCGGCACTCTTCCTATCATCAGCACTTTCGCGCGGATATTGTTGCGTATTAAGGTATGGATTTTAAAGGGAAGAAGTGAATAATAAATAATTATTAATAAGTAATTTATAAACATCCCTCGATATTGGAGGAGATCCGAACAAAGATGCCGAAAACTGGTAAGTGCTGTAAAAGAGTGCCATCTACTGAGCGTTTTCTTCTGTTCAACAAATGATATCTGCAATTGATCAAGCACACATCTAAAATACTACGGACACTTTCCTTTTATTCTAACAATCAATAAATAATCGTAAACTTAACGTGACATGCAACTTTCTTTCTTAAACTATATTTCCTCATTATCTTATCACGTTAATTTAACAATTATTTATTGATTGTTAAAGTAAAAGGAAAGTATTCAGAATACTTTAGAGGTATGCTTGATCAATTGTATCATTATTTGAATGTATCTTTTCACTTCGACGTACTTTGCAGAAATTTTTGCCATACATTTCTTTTCTTCTGACGTCGAGGTAAATCAAGATAATCGCGATGAAAAACCAAGAGTCTTAATCAGATTCTTTCCATGTTCCTTTGCGTTAACGAATAATTAGTATCTTGTCGTAAAAGATTTCCATAGGCAAAAATAGCTTGTAGAAATGTTCAATTTTTAAGAAACTTGCTATTATTATTGGCTTATGTAATAAGTAATTTCGGATTTTCCAGGTAAAGTGTAGCAATTGTACTTCTATGTAATTTTAATTTTGTAAAACAATGCATGCAAAAGATGACAAAAGATCGTAGAATCAAAACGACATGTGAAAGTAAAAATACCAATGCCTGGACAATAATAACAGTAGTACCTAAACGTTGGATATTCTTATTGTTTTGGTCTTTAAATATGAATATTTAAACTTTCGATACGGAAAGAATATATGTATATTGTTACGCTCACACCAACACTCGCGCAAGCGTTCGGAAGAGAATAAGCAAGCTGGTTTTACAAAGAACAATAAGCATGTATTTACAGCTCTACAATTAAATATTACCCGAAATCATCGCGAGAAACCGTGACACGTCAGCTTGGTTCGAAAGCTCGTGTCCAACTCTACTGTCAGCAGCTGTTTACTTCCCTTGACAACCCATCGTCAAGGAGCGCTTGTCATCCTAAACCATCAATCGGGTGCTTTACAAATCAGTAAAGCGCGGACGCAACAATATATATTGAATATATACATATATTCTTAAGAGTTTAAAGTTTAAATATCTATATTTGAGAAAATCAAAACAATAAAAATGTCCAGAGTTAGATATCAACGTTATTAGTGTCCAAGCATTGACACTTTTACTCTACATTATTTCATGAAATTAGAGCAACATAAAAATACAATATTTTTTTTACTTGGAAAATTTTACTTATTATAGAACCTGATATTAGCGTAATGCGATTTATGAAAGGAGTCGTAAGATCCAAATAATCGCTCTTAGTTTTAATTTGAATTAGAAAAGCTCTCCGTTCCTCGAAAGTTTGTAAATTGGTTTCTTTTGAGACGCTTATAATACTGCTCGTGGTATATATACGGTATATATATAGTTATACTATAATATTATTTAAAAAGATAGAAGTAAGAATCACATCAAGCTTAACAGTAAGTCACATATGCCTGCAACCGATTGTCAGAGTCACATGCGATATCTGCATGTTCCACGCGCTTAAGAGTATTATACAAATGAAGACCTTGTTACAAGATTAAACGACGGGATTAATATCGAATTCATTTCGCGAATGGAAGAATTACATTGCAGTCTGCCTTAAGGTAGTTTGTCTGTCAATCTTAAAAATAATTTTGAATTTTAACAGTATATCAATAGATAATCTAAACATATATAAAATTAAACAGATTAACTAATAAGGTAACATCGCGAACTCGAACTCTCTGATTTTAATACTTTTGTAAGTATGTAGAGTAAATCAATACATGAATAACGGTATATTCCATTATCGCTATTTAAAGGTATGATTTACATTCTCAAAGTAAAAAAGATGATTCTACTTTTTCGTGTATTACTCTTAAATTAAAAAAAATAGAAAAAAGTGTTTTGAATAAAAATTTAATGGTAAGAGTTAAGTGCTGTAAATTGACATAAACATAAATAAAAAAAAATACCTATAAAAAATTTTTTACAATAAAGTTTTAAATAATTTTTTATTTATGCTTATGTCAATTTACAGCACTTAACCTACCATTAAACTTTTATTTAAAAAATTTTTTTCTATCTCGTTTAATTTTAGAGTAATACACGAAAAAGTGGAATCGTCCTTTTTTACTTTGAGAGTGTAAATCATACCTTTAAATAACGATAATGGAACATCCCATTATTCATGCATTGATTACTCTACATACTCACAAATTGTATCAAAATCAAAGAGTTCGGGTTCGCGTATTCCCTTGTAAAATAAACTGACATAATTGAAGTCAAAGTTATATATACTGTGAAACGAATACTGATGTCACGCTTTTAATTCTAGCGACCAAATTACTCTTATGCTTTTAATGAAAAAAAAGAGAAGACAGTACAAAAAACTTATGTGGGTGTACACACGGAGAGAATATATATATATTAGTTTATCGGGTTTCTTTATGTTGTATTAATCATTAACTTTTTAACTGTGTCGTCACGGACCAACTATCTTAAAACTATCGCATTTTCTTTCGGTTACGGATTTCCAGATTTCGCATAAATCTTGCAGTTCAATGGTTTGTAACTGAACGAGTAGTGATGGACATAAGATACATTTAACAGCGAAAATTGACAGTTTGTATAGATGTAGCGTCCCCAAGAAAACGCGATAGTCGTGAGTCATTCTGTATGTTAATTCCACGCATGGTGTATCATAAAACGTGCATATTGATCTGTCAGATAATCATTTCTCGCACAAGAACATCTCGTTTAAAATGTGTGTCATCTATAATGATACATCTGTAACTTAAAATCGATTAGCTGTAATTCTCATCACATTAACTCTTATTCGTTTCGCAAAACGGGTCTCGGGTCTCAGTGTGCTTTGTAAATACGCACTTTCCGAATTGGTAAAATTTATTGCGATGGAATTCCTTTCTCGAATGAAAACTATCTTCTCCATAAAAAAAAGTATGTAAAAAAATGCAGAGTTCGTTGCATAGCTCCATCGATTGAGGGTAGTGCTCGCGAGAAAAACAGCTGACCCGATCGAAATTGAAATAGAATCAAGCTCACAGTTTATTGAGAAGATAGACGCAGTGAGGTGTACCGACAGCTTTCACAAAACAAAACGGCACGTTACATGCTCGTCGGCATGCTCATTAAAGCGCAAAATAATCGCAGCGAGCGACTCGAGTCATACGGAACATTTGGTTGCACGCATGACATTTTCGTTCAAGATACTCCGTGCACCTGTTGGTGCACGCTATGCGAACTTCAACGAAGCGTACCTAACATCTTCGCTTATTCAAATAGGAATTTCCGCCAGTGAATAATAAATCAAAATCGAAGTCCGCCGGCCGAGTGATATCAGCGGACGGCAATCACGGGGACAGTAAAACGGACACGATAACTTCCACCAAGCAGTCCTCGGAAAAGAATAACCACGAGACCGACAACGGCAACAGGACCTCGACGATCACGTGAGTACTCGTGAGCCAGGATTGCCCGCGAGTGATCTGTTTCGTTTATAGTCCGAAGCTAATTATATGAAACGCGCGATTGTGTAGTAACGGCACTAACGCCAAACAAGAGTCAAATCCATTCGAGGAGGAGGAATGGGATGAGGATGGTGGTGAGCCACTGGTCGATAATGGAGAACCCGGAGTTCCTGTACGAGCGTTGTATGATTACGAAGGAGCGGAAGCGGACGAGCTCACTTTTAAACAAGGCACGTGCAATGTGTTCCTACAATATTGGCAAAGTCTGGAAAACAAATCGACCCAACTTGAGATATCTATTACAAATTTATACACTATCATAAAAGATCCGTCATAAGTTAATCATTAGAAACGTATTCTACACCGAGAAAAATAATTTGCTGGCCTAGCAAATTTCGTTGGTTTAGCAAAATCTTTTCGTTATTATATGGACAGCAAAAAGATTTACTAAGAGTACTAATCATTATTTGCTGGATATAATTTGCTGAATCTACAAATTATTTTGCTACAAAAACCATGATGGATTTATATAAGCAGTTGCAGTTTTGCTCCGATAGCAAATAAATTTGTTAAGGATATATTATTTTGCATCAATAGCAATGTAACGTGATTCTTACGACAAATACACTCAACAAATTTTTTCTATTCTGGCAAACGAAATTACTTCTGCTTTAATAACGAGTAATTTGTAAAATTAGTTACGTCAACTAAATTTTTTAATGTCACTACGAATATGCGGTAGCAACGACGATTTTGCTAAAAAAGTAAAATTATTTTTCTCCGTATACATATGTAATTAAAATCATCTACATTTATGTGTAATATATGCAGTAATAGTAGAACATAATATATCTAATTTCTTAAATAATTAGTTAAATATATATCATTAATACACTGAGAGAAAAGTTATCTTAAAATATTTCTTGGATGAGTGCCATTAATATATTCATTTAAATCTAAATTCTCTTTACTTAAACCAAATATTGTTTATTTAAATCAGGTAAACAATATTTGATTTAAATAAAGAGAATTTAGATTTAAATAAATGCACGGTTTCTAATAATACATCTATGAATGACGGTGTCACATGATTTAAATAAAAAGAATTTAAATTTAAGTAAATATGTGTTAATAGCATCCATCAAAGAAATATTTGTTGATTTTAAGATAATTTTTCTCTCAGTGTACATTATTGCTCATATGATATTTAATGAGAGACTTAAACAATTTACATTCTATATAATAACTCTACAAAGAAAATAAACTCTTATCAAGCTGTCCTATTTTTCTCTATATTTGGCCCTTATTTTGAATTATTTTATCGATAAAAATGCCTCTAAATGTGCATACAAGCAATCAGAAAACTTACAAGTCACATTTAGAAGTACTTTTATCGATAAAAGAATTAAGAGAGATAAAAGTACTGAATAAGGACCTTAGAATATGACCAGCTCATTTCACTTCATTGTATATACAGTTCATATATTTTATACTACATTACTCAAGTTACTCAATACTTGAATAACCGCTACTCTTTCAGGAGATGTATTCGAGAAGCTAGAAGATGAGGACGAGCAAGGGTGGTGTAAAGGAAGAAAGGACGGCAGAGTCGGCCTCTATCCAGCGAATTACGTAGACCTGGTATCGCAATAAATTAACGATATAAAGCCAAATCCACAAGTTCGTTAGCTACTTAATGTGTAAACTTCGCGAAAAAAGTGAAATTTTCGCATTTCGTTTCTCCTCGCTGTTTTCTTATATAGCGAGTTGAAATGTACGAAGTCGTGGAACGCCAGTTTCGCGCCGTATGCAAGGAAACGATACGATGAACGGGATGATACGTTAGATGAGAAACGGGTTAAAACTCGAAGTCTGACTTCCAGACAAACGAGTTTTTCAGAGTTTTTCGAACTACTAGGCGCGAACGAATTGTCTGCATTTATTGAGTCGTGTAAACGTCGAGAAGCGATTTCGTTCAGAGATCCTTCTGCAGCGTCGGGGGCAACTAGCAGAGTTATAATTTAAATGAACAGCTTTCCACACAAAGATTTCCTCTCACACTCACTCAAAATGAAATTCGTTTCTAGATAGCTAGGTTAGACGAAATCCCCGCGCTAGTTAGTTTCAGTGGATAAACATGGATTACACGTGTGTCGCGCGCATATAACGAGTTAAGTATTGGAATATTGTACAATCATACGATTGATGACTCATTACCATTGTTATAAATTAAGAATCTTTTGGCTGCTGCGACGAGAGTTCTATTTAATTTATTGTTATTAAAAGAAAAGTGTACTATTAAAGCAACTAATGTCTATCTGAATGGTGTCATTGTACATAATAGATATAAGAGCATAGTAGTATGTGAAGTTATCATGGTCGTTTAACAAATTTGAAGCGTTAAAGTATACTTGAAGCGTGCGAGCATATAAACGACACGAGACTTTGAATTACGTATAAAATTATAACATACGGAATAAAGAAATTCGGGACCCAGAAAAGTCGATAGAAATGTTCTATTTATCAATGGAACCTTATAGTTGATGATAATTTGATAAAACGAATTTGATGATTTGCCACGAGAGAATGCTCGGGCAATAAGAATATAAATTATGAATGTTACGTTGTATCGAAAGAATATTTTCATCTAAAATATGTTGTGTACATAATTTGTTTTTATATAGGTCCGATAATATTAGGAAATCGTTTCTTAGAGAAAACATTGAAGTTTAGTTTTTATTGAATCGAAAACGATGATTCTTGTATATTTCGAACTTGCTATATAATATGTGGAAAAAGAAAAAATATATTAAAATATCTCCTATTAAAATCATTATTATACTTGAATAAGTGTAATATCTATCGAGTGAAAATATCACATGTGTGTGTATCAAGTGAAATTAATTTTTCTGGGGATCTAAATACATAAAATACAGCATGAATCATCATGTAAGAAATAATGCATATAGTTAACACACTTTTGTTTCAAGAAACCCCAATTTATCTTGTAAAAGATATTTTTAAATTATTTAACTGCAGTCACAGAGGTATTTGATTTACGATTATTGTAATACGTATTGAAGAAAAAGCAAGGTATTCATTACGAATACATTGTGTCTATGTACACAGTATTTATGTAAATATCGTAGAGTATAGCGAAATTTTTAATTCTGACTCAGTCTGACTGATTTTTATAATCATTCATTTATTAGTCCTCCAAATTAATTTTTGTGAAGTGTTCACGACTCCATACAGTTGTTAAGTAGATTCTAGCTTGTGTATAAAATTCATTATGTATGTCTAATAAATGATACTTATACATAAGACGTCTTGTAAATTTACCATGTTACATTGTCAATATAATTTTGCATCTTGTTCCATATACAAGAATAAAACTGAAAATATTACTAAATAAACTTATAGAGATATTATAGTGGTAAGGTCTCACATATCTAATGCATCACACTGATATGCCCATCGTCCAAGACAAAGCTTAATAATTTTATAAATGCTTTAGAAATGAAAACTACTTATATATTTTACACAAAGAAAAACTTTATCTGGATTTTATACATGTTCATTATATACTAACAACTATGTGGTGACGTTAATTCAAGAAGTATAATTATAACTCACTTAACATATAGTAATTTATGAACCATTATTTATTTAAACCACATATAACGCTATTATTTCTACTTCCGTTTAACAAACTTCCGTTTAACAAACTTCCGTTTAACAAACTTCAAGTATATCAAGCATATAGCATTGCAAGTAGTTTTATAATTATATTTCAAGTGATATAGAGATTAGACTAAAAACAAAAAACTTGTGATCAGTAATGTACTTGGTTTAAGATATTTTAATATTTTTTTTTTAAGAGCTATGAATTTTCCGCATTTCTTTTGGAGCACTAAAACATTTTTCTCTTTGTCAACGTGAATGAAAATACTCAAACGTGTGGAAAAATATATAATACTCGAATTATCAATAAACTTTTCCACATAAATTGAAATATCTGTTGACCATATATATGTTTCAAGAAATCAACTTATTTTCTAGTACACGAGATGTTTGTTTTAGGGTTCCAAAGGTACTAACTTCGAAAAAATTTATAAAAATCTAGTGTATGGATTTTTACAATTAAGATCATCCATATTTACGAGTATGCAGTATATATGCAGTATATAATAGTATAATATGTGATATATCTAATTTGTTCCACACTAGTTAGATATATCTCATCGAAATATTGCTGATGTAATATTTAATGAAAAGCTTGAACAATCTACATTCTATATATTTACATTTATTAATCGCGTCAATCTTTTGCATAAACGTAAGAACAATACTATGTTCAGCAAAGTAATATGAATATCTATCTTACATAAAAATTATGTTCTTTCTGTGTAATATCTTTCTCCTCTTTCTACATTTATATACATATATATATGTATATATATATATATTGCAAATTTGTATAATTTCACACAATACAAATTTATTACTAATGTTTTTATAGCTGTTTCAATTTCTATAATATACTTAAAGTAATAATATACTTAACGTAAGTTTATTTAGCATGTTTAAAATAACATAAAATGGATAAAAATATGCTTTTTTTATCATTATCTGAAATATGAAGGTCAAACAGGTCGTCGAATACATAACATGTATATCCGCTCATACGCAAATGTAACTCTTCAAACTGAACAAAAAGATCCCACCATTTTGCAAACCATGATAATTATTATGATATTAATTAAAGAATATCGGCGAATGATTATCAGAGGATTGTTAACAGACAATTACGACATTTTGAATGAGACTTTGCCCATAGAACTTATTCTATCATTTTCCATGTACTCTCATTCACTGATATTCTCTAATTAATATCTTAATAGTTATTATTGTTTGCAAAATAATATAGGATTTTTTGTTCAGCTTAAAGATTACACACAAACAGATGTACGCGCTATGTCAGATATTCTACACAACAGTGTATTCTTTATATTTTTTTGCAAATTGGAGACTTGAGAAACACAACGATACATGCCACATGTATGTTTTATATTTTACAAGTTATATTTTATTTTTATAAATATCGCAAAAGCCAGTGAAAAAGTTAAATTCTTTTTTTTCGATCAATCTATTTCTCATAAATTATTTTAATATTTAGAAACGCATATGAGCGTTTTAATCTGTAGACTTTTTGTAGAAAAAACCGAATTCACTTATACCTCGCTATTTTAGCAGATCTTATTATAAATTACAAATTTAGAAAAAGATTCGCTATAAATTTAATTAAGTTCATAATTAACATCGTCATGTGCTCAAAAATATTGTTTTTTTTTTATCCCTCTCCTATACAAAACTATATGAAATGAAAAGCTCACAGTAGAATCATACATCTCTGGGTCGCTACGTGGTCCTGCAGTTCCTCAAGGGTGTCAAAGGTTTGCTCGCATAATCGACATATTTGCGCGTTAGAATTGCATATGTTATGTATCGCGTACAAATGTTGGACCAGTTGCTCCTCCGTAGCAATGCGCTCGTCACAAAGCATACACTCATACTGGTAAACATCCTTTTCCTTCTTTTGCCATTCCGCTATCGCGACTTCCTCCTCGTGTGCCTGCACGTGTATCTCCAGTAGGACTTTCGAGTCGAATGTCATCGAGCATTGAGCGCATCGGTGGACCTTCGACTGATTGTTCTCCTGTTCTCCTATGCTGATCAGATTAGGATTGTCATCTTCGTCATCGAACAAATGTTTTCCAACGTGCTCTTCCAAAGCTTCATCCGACTCGAGAGTGTCGCCGCAAATAGCACACTGATATTGCTCTTTACTATTGCTCTGTTCGCCCTCGCTCAAATCATCACAATGCTTCTGCAAGTGATCCTTCAATACTTCCTCGTCTGTAAAGATCTTGTCGCACACGAAGCAGGTGTAAGTCTCTTTGGGCTTCTCCACGACCGTCTGGGTTTTGTCTATGTGTTTTGCACTCGTCTTGATAGTCTTATCGGACTGAACCTCATTCTTCTCCGTTGAAACATTCTGCGATTTTGTTGACACCTCGCTCTTCGAGTCCTGTTCCTTGTCCGATTTCGCGGATATAGTAGTCACCTTCTTGCTCTCGGGTTTTGTGACGTTCTCTATTTTGAATTCCGACTGGTCGTGGTTCTCCAAGTGGCGCATGAGAAGCTTCTCCGTTCGGAACGTCAAGTTGCACACGTAACACTTGTGCGGTAACGACGCTGCTGGCGTCTTGCACACGTGAGCCTTCACGAAGCGGGCATCGACTAACACCTGACACCTCTTGCAGCGCTTCACCTTCTGCTTCTGAACCTGCCGTGTCACAGTAATTGTGTTACTTTCCGCGTTAGTCGTTCTGTGAGTGCGTACGTGAGCCTCGACATCCTTGCGGCTGTCAAACGAGACGCCGCAAACTCCGCATATGTGATTCTCAGCTATAGCCTCTTCGATCTTAATGGTCTCTTCATAATTCGGCTTCTCGTTCGCCGCAACCGTTGAATTTTGTTCAATTCTGTAAACGGATACCGTGACGTTATTATCCAAGGTTTTAACTGTCGAAGTATTCACCCGTTTGATAATGGGTAGCTGATTGTTCGCTGCCGATGATTGTTTCGCTACAGTTCCTTGCATTTTCGAATTCGGAGTGCTCGTTATTTTGGATGCCGCCTGCTCGTAGATTAGCTCTTCCATTTCGTCGGAATCAGCGTCAGAGTCCAAGGCTGAAGTATTGTAGTCATTATATCTTTTCGGAGGTACACTCTGTCGCTTGCGGGACACCGCACTGAACGGCCCGATAAGTTTGTTCCTTGGTGCGATTTGGTTAAAAATGTCAGCGTTGTTGATTTTCCACAGTTTCATCGCTTTTTTGATATCTAGACGCTCGACGATGACTATCGGCTGATATTTGGACGAATTTTTAGCCACCTCAACAAATTCCCGTGAAATCGTTGTAGATGACTCATTGTCGCATTCTTTAATAGGCACAGATGTGTCTCTGATGAAAGAGGCCTCGATATTACTTATTATAGTCTTCCCTACTATACCCTTCAATTGCTGGTCGAGTTTGCGATAGGCTTTCCCGTAGGAGTTATCAAATCGGTTGATCTTACCGTCTTTTATGCCTAACAGCTTTTGCTTCATTTCATTTTCGACGAAATTCGCCAGCTCGACTTGCACGCGCTTCAGCGAATCCAATTCCGTGGTCTCCACATCGACATTTAAGCATCTTTCAAATTTCTTGCTGTTCAAATTAGACGGCACAGGATGAATTCTGCGCAGCTGGACCGCTTCGATGATGTCAGTGTTCGTCTCTTGATTGTTCTCGTCAATGTTGGAGCTCTTGTTATCCTTAGTTACGTTATTTATGGCTTCTTTATTCAAACGCGACGTGCCCGTGCGAACCAGCATCGACGTCACGACGTACCTGTCATTACCAACCGTTAGCTCGGATTTTATCATGCGCGGTGTAAATTTCTCATCAGCTCGCGACTCCGATTTCTTCGCGCGCTCTTCTATGTTCGTCGCTGACGAGACTGGAGTGTTCTCCTTTTCCATCGAGTGCTCTTGAGACGATGATCTGGTTCTTATGATGTTGGCCTGCTTGTCGGACGAATTCTTCTCCCGCGCGATGTTTGAGTGCGGTTCCTTAGTCGTTCGCCTTCTACGCGTTTCAGAATCCGTGTTGTCTCCAACGATATTATCACCGTGAATCGCGGTATATTTTTCCGAGAGATTCGTTTCTAGATTCTTCAAGACTTTTGCGATTCTCTTTTGTCGTTCTGCCTCCTTATCCGCATTGGTCTTCGCACGAGCTTTCTGCACCGGCGACATTTGCGCATCATCCGAAGCTATTGAATCCGTGTCAGAAACAGCCTCCCCGGTCGCTGCCAAGAGCGCCTTCTTTCTCTCTACCCAACGTTTCGTAGATGCCTTTCTTCTTTCGATAGCTCTACCGCGTTTCCCAGGTAGCAATCTATTTTTTGCCGATCCTACAGATGACTTACTCTCTATTACTTCATCATTTTCTTCCTTCGGCTTATTATTATCCTCGGAAGCATTGAGCGCCTGGTCAGAATTCTTGGGCAGAGCTGCTTCACTTTCATCGTCTGATATACATATAGTATTTACTGTATTTTGGTCTGTCTCCTGTTCATTGGCTAAAGAAGTTGCTTCTGTCTTAGTTTTCTTCTAAAACGAAATAAATAGTTTACTATGCAGTTATTAATGTAAAACTTGTGGTGCCTTCCAACATCTTTTCTGGAGATAATCTTACTGAAAACCTATAATTCATAAAGGGAGACAAAATTTGGCTTTCTATATACTGATTAAAAAAAGATATATGCAAATTTTTTAATATTGTGCATATTTTCATATAAGTACAAAACTTTTAGGTAAAAGAAAATAAATATTATCCTTATATAGATTTACATACAAAAAAGTTATTGAGTTGTAAACAATGTCACGCAAATTGATCACAGAAGAATGTGCTCTCTCATTTATTATATGAGATATAAGCTTCATCACAATGACCCACAATTAACATTACAACTTCTAGGCCTGGGATTTCTCCCTTGCTATAAATTTCCAATAAAATTTTCCTCAAAAGATGTTTTCGAATGCAATATTGTTTAATTTATAACACAAATAATATTATCAGACATAAAACCAAAAGCCTAATACATATTTTTAGTAATCAAGAAACAAAAATGTGACTATACATGGTAAAAGAAACATGAAGCAATGACAAAATAGAAGACATACCTTATCATTGTGATCAGAAACAATGTTCTCAGTATTCTCACTTACACGTTTTCTTTTTATGCCTCCATCCGCATTTCTTACACTTTTAGAAGAGTTCTTATTCTAAAACAAAGTAAATATTATTATGCTGAATAGTCACATCCATCATAAAAACTAATCAATTAAAAATACCACAAATACTTACATCGGTATCAGAAACTGCTGATACTTGTAACTGCCCTAGAAGAATCTTATTGGACTGTATAAATCGTTCCTTGAACTCGCTCCACATATTCAGCTTGTAGAGGCATACATGACATACAAAAGCAGGTAAGTTCTCCTCATGCTTAATCTGTGTCGAACAGAAGTGATAGTATATATGAAATATCTGGCTACTGTTAAATCTAACACAATAAACTATTATCAAACATACATCGACAAAAGTACACTTCACCAGATCCTTGAGCTTGCTTTCAACACGTTCGTTCCGCAAGCTGATCATGCAGCCGTTATCGGCCAGGCAAATTCGACAGCGTTCGGTCATATTTGTTCTATTCGTTAGATTTTGTTTCGCCGACATGGTGCTGAAGGGGAAGTGATCACACCGTAGGCAAAGCAAGCGAAATCTCGCTTAGGCCGTACAATACAGCCTTACGATGATTTGAAGTACGCGACAAGCGGATCGTGGCGGGTCCGTGCACATCGCGAGCGCGATGTTACCACCAATAACCTTTCCACTCGTTTCTTCACGCGGCTCAAGTTGCGCAGGAAACAATCACAACAATACACGATATGATATATGATATATCTTGACGCTCACACAAGCACTGGAGTGTACTAGAGTGTATTAAGTCACTCGCGCGCTACTCCCAGCCGTACAAACTGAAAAGGTACTCGTAACCAGCAGACATTTTCCGTAGCAAAGCGCGCGGAACAGAAATATGGCGCGGTGTAATTACACGAATGCAACTTCGTTGCTGAAGTATTACGTGCAATATCTATCCAGCTCCCGTATTGGTGTATCGCCGTGGATCGTGTTGATAAGACCGATTCCTATTGGTTCACGCGGTTTTAACAAATTATTATGCAAAATAATTCAGCATTTATTCTGATATTAACTAAATTTTTTCTCAAAAAAGGACGTTTTGAAACACAACCAGTACGTTCGAAAACTTCACTGATCTTTCTCTTTTTTATCTCACTCTCGTATTTCTCTAATACAACGGGTCTACCGGATGATGTTTCTGAACACACCCTAGAAATAGCATTATGGCCTCGCAGCCAGCACGATGCGCAATGCGACACGTGACACTTGATATCCAATGAGCGTACAGCTTTTCTAGAATAGCAGTATGATCATTGGATATCAGTGTCGCATATCGCACATTGCGTTAGTTGCGACAGCCAATGGATACATTCAGTACTACACTGCTCACTGAGCGTCCAATAAGCTCTTGCATTTGATTAGTATACATTAGTTTATATTAAGTCTAAAAGAATATGCCAATCGGATACAAGAGTTTATTACAGCGAACGGTTGTAGTACTGGATGCATCCGTTAATGACGCTAGAAGCGTTGATTCATCGCGTATGCTTCGTCGCAAACATGGAAAAGATTTGGAAGATGGTGAAGGGCCATAATAGTAGTTTCTTTAAGTTTGTGTTGGGAGGTTATTACGGTTCTGTGTGAGAAGTGAAAATGCGAGAAGTGAGCGAATTTACTAGAATATTAATGAATTTCATTGATCAACATCTAATGAATTCGCTCACTTTTCGCATTTTCACTTCTCACACAGAACTGTAATAAACTCCCTGATGACATTAGTCATGAGCTGTAAATAAATTGACCAACTACAGTCGATCACCTTCAAAAATCATTTTTGAAAATAATCAGCTGTGTCAATAATCGACTAATCACAGTCGATTTTATTTTTTAAAATAATGAACTGTGATTAATTTGCTTATATATTAGATTTGGTTTCCGGGCTTAAGCTACGTGGATTCATTTTTATTTGATTCCGACGTTTCGCGAACATTTCAGTCCACTTCATCAGCGAAAGCCTAAAAAATCAAATTTGCTTGTAGCTTATGACAAATGGCTTAAGGCTTATCCAAACGGATTTGCATAAGCGCATATGCAAATAAAAACATTTATAATCTTATAATATACTATTTTTCATTTACAAGAAATTCTTTTTTATTTTTCATACAATAGTTAGTATATTTTATACCTTGACATTTGTATTTTTACTATATAAAAGTATTTACAATTGTATGAAACCAAATAGAAAAACAGTGCAAACTACAAAACTACACTATGTTAATGTTCAACAACTTCAACATTAAAGTCCTAATTGTAAATTCTTGATAACATTGCCTCTAAATATAATTTATAAGTTTTCTGATCAGCTCATAAGAACATTGAAAGGCACTCTTATTAATAAAAGAGAGTTTAGAAAGGATCCAATAAGGTTATTAATATTTTCTATTTACATACAAATTTATTTTTGGACATGAATGTAAATCTATCACTGATAGATATACTACTCTGATACATCGTTGGCGCTTTTTTAAATAATCAATAAATAAATATATATTGCGTACGTTTAAAAAATTCTAATAACTTTAGTGCAAGATTATCGGAGCATGTTGAGATTATCGGTCTGCGTCATATTTTGAAAGTAGCAATAATCAACTACTCACAAACAGTAACATTGTAACTTTAACATTTGGGCCCTTCTACAGATAATCCAAGGCCAATTTGCAAAAGTTCTGTAGAACTGCGGAAATCACGATTATGATTATTTCTTACGACTTTCTCGTAGTGAAATATAAGTAAACATTGACAAGTGATTTTCCCGTACCTGATGGTGATTGTGCTATTAGAAACAATACATGCTTCTTGTGATCTGGCTTGTATTAGAATTTTTTTATTTTGAAAAATGCGTTGCTTATTGAACGATATTGTTTAAATTAAAATAAACAACAAGGAAAATTAATATTTTTCTAACAATTCCTGAAGATGGATGGAAACGCACCAATGAAAACAGAGTATTTATATCCAGCAAGCAATCTAGCACGAAAACAAGCACCATGTATCGCTGGCTTTATTCTATCTTTGTTATATGTAGTCCATATATTTTTCAGAATAGATTAAAAACGTATTACCTATTGTGCTGAATTGTCTCAATACAATACGGAAAAAATTATTAGCTAGATGCTGTTTATAGCCATCACTACCTCGTTAAGGAAAGTGGCGGCTCGTAGCGGAGACTTTTGTAAGTATATGGTCTGTTCTTTTCAGCTACACTACTGAACTGGTGCAATAAGTTAGAATGAGAAAAAATATACTTGTCTCACTTTAACTTATTGCACCAGTTCAGCAGTTAGCTGAAAAGAACAGACCAAGAGACTTTGGAACTACAAAATCTGTCGTAGGACTACTTTAAAATAATAGCAAAGAAATAGAAAGAAGTTTCCTATCTATACAATCACGTGTGACAACTCGACGAATCGTTGCACAACAAATCGTTGCATGTGATTGTATAGACAGGACATTTTTTTCCATTTCTTTGTCTATTTTTTACATAGTTCTACTACTGTAATAAATTAATAGTTCCAAAGTCTCTATTACGAGCCATTTTCTTTAACGAGAAATCGAGGTAGTGATGGTTATAAACAGTATATTCACTATATATTTACAAAAGTCTCCGCTACGAGTCGCTACTTAACGAAGAATCGAGGTAGTGATGGCTATAAACAGCATCTAGCTAATAATTTTTTCTGTATTGTATCGAAGACATGATATAACTCAACAATGGATTATAAGACATTTTTTTAATTTATCTTGAAAATCCTGATGTTAAAAATATCGATATAATATCGCCTCAAATATATTCGATATAATATCGAACTCACAAGCGAATAGAGATACAATCAAATATTGAATGATATCGACTATCGATATTAGTAGCGTGACTCCAAATTTTCTGGCAAATTCTATAGAATTGATTGCTTGGAAACTACGACTGGAGAAACTAGTTTTCTCGGGCTCACCGGTGTGTACGTGTGCAAGAATTCGCGTTTGCTTACGAACCAGTGTACATTAGACAACCGAACGCATTCTTTGTTACAAAACGTACGTATTGTCATTGTCAATTTTCTCATTTTCATATATAATTTGCCTATAAAATCACGCTTCCTCTATTTCTGCTCTATCATTTCCTCCCGTCGTCAGCATTTACGCGCGTTGTGTCCAGAAAGTTCTCTGCTCGCGGGATTCAAATACAAATCATTAATAACTTTATTTGAAGCTATTTTTCATTTAAGAAAACCGTCAATTCGGTATAAATTACACGTTCTACTTATAGGATGGCCGAAATAGATTTGTCTCCTGCAAAAGACAATGGTGTGTTGAAAGAAATTATCAAAGAAGGACAAGGAGATGATACTCCTACAGTTGGTTGCAAAGTAAGGGTTCACTACACTGGTACTTTATTGGATGGAACAAAATTTGACTCTAGCAAAGATAGGGGTAAGCCGTTCAAGTTTGATCTGGGCCGTGGTAGTGTCATCAAAGCATGGGATATCGGAGTGGCTAGTATGAAAAAGGGTGAAATAGCTATACTGACATGTGCTCCTGAATATGCCTATGGCAAAAGTGGTAGTCCTCCTTTGATTCCACCAGATGCTACGTTGAAATTTGAAGTAAGTAAATATTTACTTATTTGTCACAAAATAAAAATATCTTATAGTTTTGAAAAATTCTGCTATAACTTATTAAAGGAATATATTATCAATGTGTAAACTAGCAA